ATAGTTCTCAGAGATGTCAGCAAAGCCTTCGACAAAGTATGGCATGAAGGGCTCAAATACAAGATCATTCAACTCAACATGCCACCCAACTTCACGGCTCTCCTTTGCAATTTCCTTGACAACAGACAAGGCAAACTCACCATCGACAACTACACAGGTCAAAACTTCACCCTCTACAGTGGAGTACCCCAAGGCAGCAACATATCACCAACACTATACACCATATATACAGCGGACATGCCTAAACCAAGAAACTCAGAGTACATTGCATACGCAGACGACGTAACACAAATTATACAATACCCAGGGAAATCAAAACAAATGATGGCAATCAGAACTAGCCGAAAAATAGAAACCATAAACAATTACGAAAGGAAATGGAAAATTAAAACTAACATACAAAAACTGAAGATAATTCACATAGCTAAAACTAGACCATACCCAATCATAGTCAACAATCAAAACATTCCATACGCAGAAATTGGGAAAATCCTCGGCCTCAAAATCACAAGGAACGGCATACTACCACACATCACAGAAAGAATTGCAAAAGCCAGGGTCCAATTAACTAAACTCAGAAGATTCCGAAAATTAAACACCAATATACAACTACACCTTTACAAAGCACTAGTCAGACCACACTTGGAATATCCCCCAATTCCACTTAAAACTATATCAAAATCAAATAAACTCAAAATACAAGCAATCCAAAACATAGCCCTCAGAAGAGCAGCAAAACTCACACCACCATATACAAAAAATTCCAGAAAGCTACACACAGAACATAACCTAACCACAATCAACATCAGAACACATAATCAAGCATTAGCAATATGGGAAAGACTACAAGAACTCGAAGACCCCATATTCCAACAACTAATGCAAGAAGACAATACCAGAACACACAACTGGTGGCCAAAGAGCATAACATTTGACACCACAGAACCAGAACCAATATACACGAAATAAAAACGAAGAATACTTAAAGGACACGGAGGGCCCCCCCTCCCAAACACCACAATCTACCTTAGCTTAGATTAGCTTGGCTTCCCTTCCCTTGCTGTAGTGGACATGAACTGCTGACATGGCAGATTTAACCTCGTCCTCGCAAGGTGGACAGCCCACGTGCTATCAATCTCCCTCTTTATTTCCCACTTCCCAACCTTTACCTTCCTCCTACACCGTCTTCTATCTTCCTGAGCCAATAGGCTCTCTTCTCTCCATCACATCGGATCGGAACGTCCTTCTACCTACAGCCACGCAGCACGCAACACCTCCTCTGAGCAAGCTCCTCACCAACCAGCTCTCTACTCCACGCTTGTAACCACGCTGCTAACCACGCTGCAACTTCCCAGCACCAAGCTGCATTGTACATCTAATACAATATATATACAGAGAGTGCATTGTGAGTTTCCTTTCTCCAACCCATCCTGAGTGCGAACCAACATCACGAAACCCCACAACGCTACACTTCTTTTTCATATTCATTTAAAGAAGGAAACACTGAGTGTACCTATAGAGCACATTCCCAATTCAATATACGGGTAAAAATACATTAACTTACCATCAGAAGATGAACAAGTTACTTTCCCATTCGACCACAGTTCGAGTGGTTGACTGGCTGAGGAGAAACACGTGTGATTCAGGGTTGGGGTTGGGGGGGGGTTGGCGGTTACTGCATTATATTTATGAAATAATACGCAAGTAAAAATTCGCCACCTTATCAGCAGTATTTAACAATATCACCAAATCATTCAACCAATGAGTATTTTATGTACCTGAGAATCCAGCAAATACTTGTTTTTAGTAGTAACATATAAATATATGCTGGCAACATCTCAGATTCGGGAATGAACCTGTATGATACAAGTAGGGCCGTAGGACGGCGTAGGGCTTGGCGACGGTGTTTTCACTTCTAAGAACGAAAATTCCCGGGCACCTTAGTTAATTTTTCCCACGAAATCCCACTTATCGAAATCCATCAAATTTCATTCAACACCTTCCACGTAGGCCTACTTCTCCTATAGATTTGTGGGAATTTTCCATGAAGTGGCAGAACTGCTTCGCGACTCCAAGAAAAACGCTTGGCGACCCCATTTGGGGTCGCGACCCCAGGGTTCGGAAAGAGACTTAGAGGTACTTGTAAGCCCAGACTTATGGCCTAGAAAACAGTGCGTTAATGTTCTAAATAAGGCAATCAGAGTATTAGGTTTTATATCTAGAAGTGTAAGTAATAAGAGTGCAGAGGTCTTATTGCAACTGTATCTTGCACTAGCCAGGTCGCACCTCGATTATGCTGTTCAGTTCTGGTGCCCTTATTATAGAATGGATATCAATTCACTGGAGTCGGTGCAGCTAAGAATGACGAAGCTTATTCCGGGACTTAGAAACCTTCCATATCAAGATAGATTAAAGAAACTAATCTTGCATACCCTAGAAAGACGAAGAGTGCGGGGAGATATGAAAGAAGTATTTAAGTGGGTGAAAGGAATCAACAGAGGAGATATAGATAAAGTTCTTATAATATCCGAGCAGGATAGGACTCGTAGCAACGGATTTAAGTTGGATATGTTTAGGTTTAGGAGGGAGATAGGAAGGAACTGGTTCACAAATAAGGTGATGGACGAGTGGAAAAAGCTTAGCAACTTTGTAGTAAGTGCTGGAACGCTGGAAAGTTATAAAAGGAGGCTAGATAGATTCATGGATGATAGAGAGTAGTAACTCTCGACAGGAGTTGCCATGCACAGGCCAACCGGCCTATTGCAGACTCCTTATTTTCTTATGTTCTTGTGTTCTTAATACGACATCCGCACTCTTATTACTTACACTTCTAGATATAAAATCTAATACTCTGTTTGCCTTATTTCGAATATTAACACACTGCTTTCTAGGCCGAAGGTCCGCCTAGGTCTCTTTCACAAGTCAACTTCTCTAGTTCGATGTTGTTAAGGCTGTATACGTTGACAATATTTGTTCTTCCAATATTAAGTACGCTGCACTCGCTGGTGTTGAATTTAATTTGCCATTTTTCTTACCATTACTGCTGTTTATTTAAATCTTCCTGTAGTGCATTTGCATCCTGCACTGACTTAATCTGCCGCCCTATTTTGGTGTCATCCGCAAACTTGCTTATGTCACTGCTGATCCCAGTATCTAGATCGTTTATGTAGATTATGAACAAGAGTGGGCCCAGTACTAACCTCTGGGGAACCCCACTAGTTACACAGCCCCACTCAGATTTAAAACCATCTACGCTGACCCAATTTAAAACTTTCCCCTCGATACCATGAGCCTTAAATTTTCTCAGAAGCCTCGAATGCGGTTCTCTGCCAAATGCTTTGGCACAGCTCCCGTGCCTAATGATTTTGTAAATAAATTTACGAGGAATCCGCTAATCTGTTCCTTACACTCTTTCAAAACGCTAGGGAAAATTTCATCCGGCCCTGAGGATTTTGTCTTCTTTAGGGTGCTTAATCATTAGGTGAAATAAACTTACGTCAAAGTAATTTAGCAACACTCACCTCCCATATTCTCAAAGGGCACCAGCTCATCCAACAGATCCTGACGATTGGTAGGTGTAGTAATGAAACCCTTGAGACCTTTACACAGTTGGACAGCGTGGTGGTATCTGAGCGTTGGTAAAGGTACGGTCGAGCGGCCTCGGGATATTGATCTGCAAAGGTCTTTTAGTGCCACTTCCTGTAATGGAATCAGAGTCATCTTATTGTTGATATATGACGTTGTTGTTGTTGTGATGTATTACAGTTGTTGTTATAATATTTGATCGGTGTTGTTAGTGTTAGGTTATGTTTGGTTAGGTTAGGTTATATTAGGGTAAAATGGGTTAAGATAAGGTAGGTTAGGTTAGATTAGGCTGTATTTGCTTTGGGTAGGTTAGGTTAGATTAGGTTAGATTTGATTTGGGTAGGTTAGATTTGGTTTTCGTTAGGGTACAGTTATAGGTAGGGTAGGGTAGGGTAGGGTAGGGTAGGGTATACTTGGTTTGGATAGGGCAGAGCAGGGTATATTTGGTTTGGATAGGGTAGGGTACGGTAGGGTATTTTTGGTTTCGATAGGGTAGGGTAGGATATGGAAGCTTAGGTTAGGTTAGTGTACATCTGAATAAGCCACTTAGTATATTTCAATAAGCCACATAGTGTAACTTAATAAACCAAATACTGCAACTCAATAAGCCTCATAGTGTAACTTAATAAGCCACATAGTGTAACTCAATAAGCCACATATTGTAACTCAATAGCCACATAGTGAAACTTAATAAGCTACATAGTGTAGCTCAATAAGGCACATAGTATAACTCAATAAGCCAAACAGTGTAATTTAATAAACCACATAGTATATCTCATTAAGCCATATGGTAACTCAATGAGCCACATAGTGTAACTTAATAAACCACATAGTGTAGCTCAATAAGCCACATACTGTAGTGTAACTTAATAAGCTACATAGTGTAACTCAATAAGCCACATATTGTAGCTCAATAAGCCACATAGTGTAACTTAATAAGCCATATAGTGTAGCTCAATAAGGCACATAGTGTAATTCAATAAGCCAAACAGTGTAATTTAATAAACCACATAGTATATCTCATTAAGCCATATGGTAACTCAATGAGCCACATAGTGTAACTTAATAAACCACATAGTGTAGCTCAATAAGCCACATACTGTAGTGTAACTTAATAAGCTACATAGTGCAACTCAATAAGCCACATATTGTAGCTCAATAAGCCACATAGTGTAACTTAATAAGCCATATAGTGTAGCTCAATAAGGCACATAGTGTAACTCAATCAGTCACATCGTGTAATTCAATAATGCACTTAATGTAACTCAATAAGCCACATAGTGTAGATCAATGAGACACATGGTGTAGCTCAACAAGACACATAGTGTACCTTAATAAGCCACATAGATTACCTTTCTTTCCAAGTTGTGCGTCACCCATCGACCAGACCAGCTGATGACGTCACCCTCGGGATTGACCTTGCAATTAGCCATGTCCAGAATTTCCTCTTGGGTCATGACACGGCTCCACAAGTTGACCTGACTTAACCTTCCGCTTAGTGAGTATGGCATCTGGGTTAAGAGAGTTCAGAGGTGTTAGAGATGTAGTTGCGGTGTGTGTGTGTGTGTGTGTGTGTGTGTGTGTGTGTGTGTGTGTGTATAAAGCAGGAGGACCTCTGCTTACCACCCGTCTCCACTCTCTCCAGGAGAATATATGGGAAAAGGAGGAAATCCCCCAAGCTCTTAAAGATGCCTCCATCATCAATATATATGGGAACAAAGGACACCGGTCAGACTGTGGCAACTACCGCGGGACCTCGCTGATGGCTGTAGCTACCAAGATTATCGCCTGAATCTTCCCAGAATCTCAATGTGGCCTTCGACCATCACGTGGCACCACTGACACGATCTTTGCTGCCCGTCAAATACAGGAAAAGTGCAGAGAACAGCTTCATGACCTGTACATGGTTTTCATCGACCTAACCAAGGATTTCGACTCGGTCAACAGGGAAGGCCTCTGGTGGACCCTCAGCCATTTTGATTGCCCACCAAAATTCATCGCCATTGTGAGGCAACTCCACGATAGCATGAACGGCAGTGTCCTGTACAATGGCACCCAGTATGAGTTCTTCCCCATCCAAACGGGGGTAGAACAAGCATGTGTACTGGCTTCAACTCTCTTTTATTTTTTTTTCTTGGCTGCCTTCCTTACTTGTGCCAGTGTCAATTTAGCCGGCGGGGTGGACAACCAATACTGGATGAATGGACTTTTCACCATAAGACGACTCTGGGCAGGAACAAAGGTGCCGGCAATTTCCATTACTGAACGTCAGTGTGCAGACAATCTCACCCTCGTCGTTCACACTGAACGTGATCTACAGAAGATCCTGAACACCTAGGCAGATGCGTATGCACACTTCGGCCTCGAGGTGAATGTACGTAAGACTCAGATTCTCTTTCAGCCAGCCCTGGTTCACCCACACCACGATTATTCACCCAGCTCAACGGTAATACCCTCTCTAATGTTACCCACTTTCAGTATCTCGGCTCCCACCTGTCCACCACTGTGGACATCGATGAAGAGATTCAACATCGGATCAGCTATGCATCTTAAGTTTTTGGCAGACTCCGTACCCGTGTCTTGAGCTATATGGAGCTGAAACTATCTACAAAGTTACATGTATATCGAGCAGTGGTCTTCCCCACCTTTCTACAGTATATGGCAACGAGACGTGGGTCACATACAGAAAACACCTCAAGGCACTTGAAAACTATCACCAACGTAGTCTAGGTTCTATTATTCCTCCGAATTCGCTGGGAAGACAAGAGAACAAATGCCAGTACTCTCGCTGACACCAACTGAAGGGGCATCGAGGTTACCATTATCCATGAACACCTATGCTGGACTGGTCATGTTTCCCATATGAACAACAGTAGACTGGCAAAACAACTACTTTACAGTCACGTAAGGAAGAGTAAACGTAACGCTGGCGGGCAACCGAAAATGTATAAGGGTAGTCTTAAGACAAACCTAAAAAAGTGCCAAATCGACCCCCTTACCTGGGATACGATCACTCCACACCGTAACGCTTGGAGGAGCACCACACGAGAAAGTGTCAATACTTTCGAGTTAGACCGACTGTGTGAAATATAACAAAGTCTAGGACTGCTTTTAGTATCCTGGTGGCCCAGAGGTAGCGTTCCCCGGTCACAGTCATGGGCTCGTGGGCCGTGGGTTCAAATCCTGACGGGTTGAGGTGTTGATTGTATGTAGAAGTTCGCGTGCTTTATTGGGCTAATGAAATATATATATATATATATATATATATATATATATATATATATATATATATATATATATATATATATATATATATATATATATATATATATATATATATATACACTAGCAGAATCGCTGCCCTCCGGGCGGCTCATCCAGTCGGCAACGGTAGAACGCCACCCTCCAGGAGGCTCCACATTGTCTCACTGTTCAGTCCCCACAACTTCTTCTTCCATCAATAGTTCATTAACGGTGTATGTAAGTTCCACCATGTGTTTCACTACAACGGTACAGCAAAGTATATTTTTTTAGCATTAAACTGTTATTATTTTATTGTGTAATCATCACTACATAAAACACCACCCATCATCACTACATATAACATCATCCATCATCACTACATATAACACCATCCATCATCACTACATATAACACCATTCATCATCACTACAGATCGGTAAAGTAGTTTCCGAGATTCTCGTGCGGACACACAGACAAACAGACAGACTTCTTTGTTTTATATAGATAGATTGTCTAATCATCACTACATATAACACCATCCATCATCACTACATATAACATCATTCATCATCACTACATACAACACCATCCATCATCACTACATATAACACCATCCATCATCACTACATATAACACCATCCATCATCACTACATATAACATCATCCATCATCACTACATATAACATCATTCATCATCACTACATATAACACCATCCATCATCACTACATATAACACCATCCATCATCACTACATATAAAAACATCCATCATCACTACATATAACATCATCATCCATCATCACTACATATAACATAATCCAACATCACTACATATAACACCATCCATCATCACTACAAATCGGTAGAGTAGTTTCCGAGATTCTCGTGCGGACACACACACACAAACACACAGACATTCTTCTTTGTTATATATATATATATATATATATATATATATATATATATATATATATATATATATATATATATATATATATATATATATATATATATATATATATATATATATATATATATATATATATATATATATATATATATATGTAATATTCAGAAATTTCAGAGTAATTTCAAATGCCCCGCCATGAGTGATACTGAGCGTTCAAGGTCATCTGAGGGGAGGGAGCGCTGCCTGCTCGTAGCGAGAGATTGCGGAACTAGGCCTATATGATATTAAATGTGATTTACCGAATTAATAATGATGCGATTCATGAAGTTAAGGGACTATTATTGAATTTGAAATTATTATAGATCGTTTAGCAGTCTGAATAATGTTACGGGTGTCCCAAGGAGTTATTAGTTAGGCGGAAAATATATCACGTAGGCCCAAGCTAGCGCCTTGGGGAGACGCGACGCTGGCTAGGCCCAGTCCCGGAGAGCATTCACACAGACAAGACGTTCCGCGCGTCCATCAGAAATAGTCACGTGGCCTAGTCACCTGTGCTGCGCTATTGCAGTATAACAAGTAAGTCTCATTCGATCTCAGACAGGGTTAGATAGGGCAGTGATAAAGTAAACTAGAGCTAACAGTGAGTTCATTTCAGGGTTTCCGTCAGAACCCACTTGATTGGAGTTGATTGGAGTTGACCGGAGTTGATTGGAGTTGACCGGAGTTGACTGCGAGAGATTGACTGCCGTTGATGATTGAGGGTGGCGATTGTCGCCATTGGACCGATCAGTGTAGGCCTGTCACTGTTTAGCGGGGTAGCAAAGGATCTCTTGAGTGAACGAGTGCTCCCGACAACTAAAACGACACGGGACCAGCATCGGCAGTGGGTGATCAGTTCTTACCACTCCGGTGCACAACACCACGTGTCCTCGGTCAGCTAGTGAAACCCTCTTGCTAACGGGAAGCTAAAGTTTCTCTCAACTGCACAAGGTCTGATTGGCTCACTCTCTTCCTGCCCATGGACGCACTGGGAGTACACTGAGGCTATCTGAGTATATTAATGGTCACACACTGAGACCGTGAGTCTAGGACTCTAGGAGATACCTAGAGGAACATTTTATCTTCATTATTACGGGTGTAGTTAACACCACTCCTCAGACTGATATTATCTTGACGTGTGTAGTTAATATTTCTTAAATAATTTTGATAATATTGTTTTGAATGTTTGTGCCATTAAGTGGAACCAGAGTGATACTGTGATTGATTCTTTTAATGCATCTGATTGTTCTTCATAATTCTGATCTCAGGTATAACCTTGTTCCCCAGAGTAGTGGTTAAGTCAGGTTAGGAAGTGTGCATCTGTTGGGGTGCTATAATTTTGTTGAGTGCCCCTAAGGCCTATTCATTGTAGAGTATTTAATTTCTTAAATTTTATTACCATTTCCTCAGTGACTGATATTATCTTGTTGAGTACCCTTAAGGCCTATTCATTGTAGAGTATTTAATTTCTTAAATTTTATTACCATTTCCTCAGTGACTGATATTATCTTGCTGAAAGCCCTTAAGGCCTATTCATTGTAGAGTATTTAATTTCTTATCTTTTATTACCATTCCTCAGTGACTGATATTATTTTGTTGAAGACCCTTAAGGCCTATTCATTGTGGAGTATTTAATTTCTTATTTTTTAGTACCATTTCCTAAGTGACTGATATTATTTTGTGAAAGCCTTAAGGCCTGTTCATATGTGCAAGCAACATTTCTTAATACTTCAAATTTATTGTTGCCTGTGTTCTAATAATCTCTATGTCATTTATAACTTTTATTCCCCAGAGTAGTGTTTTAAGTTTAAGTTAAGAGGTGCGCATATTGGTGTACCATTATTTGATTGTGTTTGTAGTGTTGGAGGGAATATAAGTGTCTAAATTTTACAGTGTGTCTCATTCATCCCAGTCACAGACGCTATCCTTCCACGGGTCACGGACAATTCATTTTGTGTAGTAGATTTAAGTGTTCTTGTGCTGGTTCGGGATTTTTCTCAAAGGGGCGCTTCCACTGCCTTTACCATCTATTAAATTTTAATAAACCCCAAGTCAAGTGAGAAATTAAAGTCCAGCAAATTCCGACCGGTTACAAATGGTAGCAGAGCGTGGTTTTTAATGTCGTGACTGATAGTACTGTGGTTGGGATAATGAACGCTATCATGTGTTGGTTAGTAATGGTAGGGATTGAACTCGCACTGATGCTCATCCTTGTGCCCGGACTGAGTTGGTTAGGCTTGACAGTAGAGATGTGTGTGAGGAGGAAGAGAGACGGCCGCGGGACCTTGGTACAGCTGAGAGAGGAGTTCGGAGACCTAAA